CATGCAAGTGTGGTTGACTCACTCACACATCATCCTCTCTAGATACATTTGCTAAAATGTGAAGGATCATTAAATGCTCAAGATTTGCAGGCTAAAGATTCTCCCTCCCCTCTTTTTCCTTTTTTTTTTAGTTTCTGTTCTTTTTTAACAATATCAAGATTCAGAATTACGGTTTACGGACTTAGAATTACGGTTTACGTCAAAATGTTTTGGTGTAGCGACGTATACTTACTTCCATAGTGATGAATTGATATTCGGTAATCTTGTGATTTTATGCGTAAATTTTGATCTTTACTTGAGCTCTTAAAATCTTTACCTGTGTGGTCCCGTTGATAACCGATTTTCTCAAATCGGGGCTCAAATGTGCCAGTGAGGCCCGTAAGTTCAAGAAAGACTGTGTCTTGATATGACAAAAACTATGTCTTGATAGTCGATCTATTTCGTAACTACTCGTATAGATTAGTGTACATGACTACATGTACATTGGTTAATCAACTTAATTGTTTGTAATTAACCCGTGAATCAATCTTGCAGTCATATCCATTGGTAACCGATTTTCTCAAGTCCGGGCTTTACAAATGGGCCGGTGATGCTCGGAAATTCAAGAAAAACGAGCCATACATTGAGCTAGTGACATCACCAAATAATCCCGATGGGTCGTCAAGGGATTCTGTGGTAAATCGAAATCGAGGGATATTAGTTCACGACTTGGCTTACTACTGGCCACAGTATACCTCAATCTCATCTTCACCAGCAGATTACGATATAATGCTATTCACTGTTTCAAAAAGCACGGGCCATGCGGGTACTCGTCTGGGGTAAGCTATTAGCTAACAGAACATCTTGTAGTTTAAATGGTGATGGTTAATTTGATTTGATGGATGGTGATAAATCTATAAATAACTACACTTGAGAAATTTGGTCAAATTACTATGATCTGTTTATTTTTGAAATTGCAACATGTAAAAATTGCGCCTTTTCGAAGGAGAGACGAATAAATGAAATTACAAGACGACCACTTGGCTCATGTTCCATTTTTTTTTAAATTCCCGGTTCAAAAAGGGAAGGAAAAAAAAATCCAATCTCTCCCCCGGAATTAAGAACTTCGAAAGATTAGTCCACATATTTGATACTAAAAACTAAAAAAAAAACATTTCAAAATGACAACTCAAAACTCTGTAAATTGGCTAGATTATAGGGGTGGTTTTATGACAACTTGTTTTTTCATTCGACGATACTATGTCGAATGAAATTCGATACATATATTTGCAGTTGGGCCCTCGTGAAGGATCAAGAAATCGCCAAGAAAATGACAGAGTTTATCATGCTCAGCACTATTGGTGTGTCCAAAGAGTCGCAGCTTCGCGCGGCAAAGATTTTGCAGTTTGTGACCGAAACCCACGAGCAAAAACACCATTTCAAGGAAAATGCAGCCTTCTTTGACACCAGCTATAATGTGATGGCTAAGAGGTGGAAACAGCTTAGGAATGCAGTTAAAAACAGCAAGCTCTTTAGCTTGCCTGATTTTCCTCAACGCAATTGTGCCTTTAGCGGCCGAACCTTTTCGTCGCAGCCAGGTGAGTTCTTTCATAAATATGAAAAGTTACTGAGTTCTTTTGCAATTAGGCATCTTCGTGTACAAAAAAAAAAAATAATAATTTTTGTTTGTCCAGCCAAAATTTATCTCATCAAAACCAAAAAATGAAGGCAAATTTGCATGTTAAGACACCACCTTTCATGTTTTTGCAATTTAATCAACACTTTCGTAATTTATCATTTAGTACACCACGTTTACAATATTTGCAAATCGAATCATGATTGACGGCTCCAGTTACAGAAATTTAGAAATTTATTATGGTGAATATGGTGTATTAAATTGCTAAATTACAAAGAGGTTAGTAAATTGCAAAAACGTGAAAGGTGGTATATCAATATGCAATTTTGCCAAAAATGAAACAAGCACTATTCATCTAATATCTATCCATTAGCTGTAACCATTACATTTTTATCTCATATTCATTCATAATCTCAAATTTATATCACTTACTCGAAAAACTTGCTCTTTCCACTTTTTTTATCCCACTTTTCAGACAAGACATTTTTTTATTTTTTTTTTTAAATCACCAAAACATCATCAAGGCTAGTTTGTGGCTTACTCCCAAGTTCTTCTGCACAGCTCTAACATTTTTCTTTGTGTGCATTTTGCATTATCTTCTGCATTCTTGTAGCTTTTGCTTGGCTCAAGTGTGAAGGCGAAATCGAGGATTGTGAAGGATATCTTCGTGATCATAAGATAATTACAAGAAGCGGGAAGCATTTTGGCGATAGCGCGAAATACGTTAGGATTAGTGTTTTATCTCGCGATGAAACATTCGATCAATTCACGGAGAGATTAACGGGCATATATTAATTCTATTTAATCAATTATTATTATATTTTTTTTGAAGAAACACTGCCTTTTAAGTTAAGATTGCCTTTTGTATCGTCCCTCTCTATATATATAGTTTAGGTAAAATTGCCTAACAGACACTACCTTTTAAAGCTTTTGCTATTTAATCACTATTTTTTATACCTTGTAATTAAGTATCTTAATGTAACGATTTTTACACTATCTAAATTTAAATGATTTTATACAAATTGAGGAATCAATTTTTATTTTATTTTATTATTATTTTTGGGCAAATTGAGGCATGTTGAAAAAAATCATATTAGTTGCCCTAAGTTATTTGGATGGGTAAAAAAAAAAAATCCTGTTCGTTTCCACATGGCTGCCAACTCAAATAATTGAGTTTGAAGGGCAAATTCATCGGTCAATGAAGGACAAATTCATCTGTCAATGGAGGGCAAAGAAAATAATTGAGTTTGGAGGGCAAAAAAATCACTTATGATCATTGAAGGACAAAGAAAATAATTGAGTTTGAAGTCAATGAAGGACAAAATCATATAGGTAGCTAGGACAAAGAAAATAATTGAGTTTGGAGTCAATGAGGATAAAATCATATAGGTAATTTGGACCGTTACATCAATACACACTACGTTAAATTGCGCATGTAATTTGACGGTTGAAGTCTTTTTGAAGAGAACGTGTTGTTTGAATAATTTGAAGGCTTAAGAGGAGTAGTTGTAGTTTGAACTAATGTAGGTCAAACTGCGGATATAATTTGACGGCTCAAGTCGTATTGCAGAGCACGCGTGTTTTGGACTAATGTAGGTAATTTGAGTCGTTAGATAATTCCTCCATATCAATGTAATGTAGGTAACTTGAGTAGTTGATAATTCCTACATATCAATGTAGGCAATGTGAGTCACTAGATGAACACACTGTTATTAGATCAACACACATCCGCACAACATACTGTGCTACTGTACATATGATTTGTCCCAAGATGGCACTTGAGTGTTAGATCTAATTCGTACCTATCAATGTACGCAATTTGAGCTGTTAAATCAACACACCTACTCGGCGCATCTAATTCGTACCTATCAACATAGGACTATAGGCAATTTGAGTCGTTAGATCACACCTAGTTGGCGCATCTAATTCGTACATAGGCTATTTGAGTCGTTAGATTAATAGACGCCCAATCGTTGGTGTGATTGTGCGATTTTCACGGTTCAAACCTGACTACTTACCTATCAATTGACAATTTTCAATTTGAGTAGTATCTATCAACAGACAATATCAATTTGATCAGTTAGATCAAACACACGCCCACTCAGCTTGAGCGGTTAGATCAAACTCATGCCCACTCAGCTAGATCAACACACGCCCACTCAATATTGTGTGTTATTTGAGCCAGATCACGCCCACTTGGCGGTGTTGCCAGCTCAAAACCGATTGTGCGTATGATTCAAAATAGTGTGGCAATTTTTCGAGTTTGCAAATCTACCATCATTAACAAGTAATTGTGTCTCTACCTAATTGTCAAGATTTAATAACATTTATGCCTAAAATTCAGTTACCTAAAAAGTGGACTCTTCCACTTTCTGTTTCCAAAATTTTCGCCATTTCCATAAAAAAAAAAAAAAAAACATTGCCTTCATTGATATGGAATGAAAAATCAATTGTCTCCATAAAAAAAATCAGTAGTTTCCTTAATTCGCGCAACTTGTACGTTTTTTAATAGAGAAAAATAAAAACGTGTATTGTAATTCATTCAGTCGTCAGGTGGTATATATTGTGTTTATATTAGTATATATTCAATATATGTTGCAACGAAAAACATGTATAACATGTTACTTATATTCCCTATACAAAAAAAAAAAACTTTTAATATATTGAACATACACTCCATATACACATGACATATTCTGAAGTGTACAAAATAATCTTCTAATATATTGAACATATATCTCTATACACACTACATATATTGCATGTCTATACACACAACATATAACATATGTACATACCATAGATATACTCCCTTGGAGAACGATTCTCGAATCACCTAGGATTGCCGACATATACCACGAGCCCGAACTTCGGGCCTCGCATTTGTCATCTTCAACTTTGGAGAGATCTTAGCCCTCGAAAATTATTCCCATCACATCAGTCGTCATCTTCCTCCCTGCAGAGCCACGCTAGGCCATCGCCGTGCAAGATCGAGAGTTCTCGTTGTACGTCACAGCCCTACGTCGACCTCTTTTCCTTCAGCGACGATTGTCACGTGTAGCCAAGCAGCACACGTATCATTGCTGAGCAGTAATGGTCAATCACCATACGCACGACGTCCGCCATTCGTCCGCCCTTCAGCCCTCCGTCGTGCACATCCTACAGACACCGACGACGCCAGACTCCGACTAACAAGTTTTGTTTTTCTTTTAAGGGATTTTGCGAAGTCGGGAACTCGACTTAATTTGTGGGGTGTCGGCCACGTTTGACAGTTTTTTCTAGGTAGAACGTGATATTTTAATCTTGGCCATTGAAGCGTGGTTGGGAACGAGATGGAGGTTTTGCAGAAGAGTAATGCTACATAATCAACCTAGTGTACAACTGGATTGACAACACAACTGTAAACATTCATAAAATTAAAAATAAAAAAATACACAAGTGGATGTTTACACTTTGTGTTGTTAAACTAATTATTGTACACTAGTTGACACTTGGCAATGTAACATTTTTCTTTACAGAAAGAGAGATTGTAATTTAATTCCGATTTATTTGGTAAGAATATCTTCATCATTGATCTCAATATAATTGATTAATCCAATAGTACCTTAACAACTGTTGAAAGGATTTTAAACCATATTAGTTGATTTGGTAATTATATAAATAAAAAAATTGAATGTCTCAAGTGTTATATAAATTGAATAGTAGAGAGTGGTGCAAATTCCTCTTAAAATAAAGGTATCTATTATTATGAATGATACCAAATTTAAATTAAAAATCAACACTGTTGGTAGTGGTACATCTTATTTAACAATCACACATTTATTGACCCCGAGGCTAGTGACTAGTTACAGCTCATGTACATTAGTCCATCGAAACTCTAATTATCAAAAGATCTAAACTTAGGCTAGGCCCAACTATAAACTCAGAGCCCAATATACCAATTACTCAGCCCACAGTCCACACC